TGAAGATCTGGCTCACAAACTGCCTGCAGACGATGCCAAACCTGTTAAAAATAGCGTCCAACTGCAGCAGCTTCCTCTCCGTCCCCCTCTGCGTTGGCTTCTCCCTGGCGGGAGGGGTGCTCTTGAAGCCCTGGCTCGGGGTGGGGTTTGTGTGGCAGAGAACGACCGTGAACTTTCTCTTTGTCAGAACTGATGTGCTTTTAAATAAAGAGGCATGAACATGAGTTAGTGGAAAAAATGCATCATCCATCCCCAAAACGGAGCGGGACTGCTCAGCAGCAGCAGAAGGCATCTTGCAGGCAGCTGCTGTCTGGTCCCAGCCTGGAGCTCTCTTGCTGCTTGCCCCAAGCCTGGTGCTAGGGCTAGCTGGGCTTTCTTGGCATGGCTGAGCCATGCTTCTGTGTAGAGAAGGGTCAAAGCCATTGCACCCATCAGTACAGCTGGAAGCAGGGAGGTGGGCTGCCTGTCAGGCTTTGGCTTCAGCAGCGCTGTCCCGGGACTGGAAGACTAGGAGATGCTGCAAGGCTTGCTCACCAGAGCAAATCCCACTGGTGGGCTCATGCCTGTGGGAGTTTGGAGAACTGGGCACACGGAGCAGAGCTCTTCAGGGTGCCAGGCTGCGGGGAGCAGATGCAGCCTCTGCATTTGATAGGGATGAGGGCCCAGGGCATCAGACCTGCCTTTCCACCTGCTTTGGAGATGGTGGGGTCCTGCTCCCCACTCAAGCAGCATGGGACCCTGGGCCAGCACCTGGACACTGATCCAAAATGATGGGGCCATTGGGTCAGACCTCCACTACTCGGGCCCATGGGGTGGAAACAAGCAATGCAAGGGCTGCTTCTGGAAGCGCAGTGGATCAGTGGTGGCTTTTCAGCTGGCAGCTGGGGACTTTCTCTGCTCTCCAGCCCAGCTGAGCATGGGGAAGGGCAGAGAGGGAGTGTACTCCCAAGAATTGGCAGGGGCGGTGCATTCCTGGATTTCCCATTTCCTCTGCTCAGGAGGCAGAGGACGAGGCCTCACTATTTCCCTTCCTCTGCCTCCTCCTCCCTCCTTTGCCACTACCCACGGCGCTGCTCAGCTTGCCGTCCCTCATGGGCCTGGCATGAAACCCAGGACCCCGAAGAGTCTGTTGGCAGAGGTGCACACGCTTGCTGGTCTCTGCATGGCTTTGGCTCTTCTCCGGGGCAGCTGAGCTCTTCCCATGCTCTGTGTTATTGCAGGGGAGAGCCTGCCTGTGGCTCCTGTGCTTCTGGGGGGTCCCGCTACCTCCAAATACACGCTTGGCTCTGGATTTGGATTTGATGCTGCCTCTTGCCAGGGCTCTAGTAGTCTGGTAATGCGGTTTCAGCCCCTCTCAGGGTACTGCTGCTTTAAGCCTGGCTCAGCCACATTTGCCGGGTGCTCGGTGAATCATTTCCCTTCCCTCCGCCTCCCCTGCTCTGCTAATTGAGAGTTTGAGCTCTTGATGCACAGGAGCTGCTAACTAGGTCCAGTCCATGCCCTGCACCGAGAGTGTGGGATCGCAGTTAGGAGTCCGGGGGCAGGGGTAATCCATGTAAGGATAAGGAGGAACCACGGCTGACAGCCTCAGCAGCTCGCTGAGCCCCTCGCTCACAGGAAGCTGCTCCTCCCGTCAGCAGTGCTGGGTGATTCATCACAGCAATTGGAGATGGGCCAGGCCTGCAAAACCATCTGGTCCCCCCACCCAGGGCAGTTCCCTGCAGCATGGGTTCTCGGGTGCGCCCTGTGTCCTGTGATAGCGTTTGGACCAGGCCACGTGGAAGATGATCCCACGGGCTGGTGGGTCTCCCGGGGAAGGTTTTTAGCTTGATCCCTCCTTTCTGCATCCCACGCCAGAGCTGCCATTACCTGCCAGTCTCCCTCCTGGGTGTTTCCTCTCCCAGCTCTTCCCTTGCATAGCCAAACTAGGCGGATGCTGCCTTTTTAGAGCTAGGCTCGGCCTTCCAGGGTTCCCGCTGGGCTGTGCCTGCAGAGCAGTTTGGAGGGGATGAGGTTGCACTGTGCAACCCAGGCAGCTCTGCTGGCCAGCGAGGAGTGGGCAAAGCCGTGATCCTGGACCCTGCTTATCCCTCCCCCCCGCTTACACCCACCAGGCCTGCACGGTTCATTCACGTGGGAGCTGGGCAGCGCAAGAGACACCTCACGCCTTCCCCAGTCTCTTGTGCACTGAGTTCCAGCCTGGCCCTGAATTGTTCCTTATCTCAGGTACTAGGACTGAGTGCGTCTCTCGAGGGTAGCGATTCTCAACCCTGGGGTGCCTGGAGATCCTGTCAAGAGTGCCACGCTAGGTTAGCACCGTTAGGTGTGCAGATACGATTCACAAGACAAACCCAGTAGAAATCTGTAGCATCACAACCGTTCTCCCCGTTGCGGTCTTTCTGAGTTCTTTGCAACAGAAGACGTCTTCTGTTATTTTTCTGTAGTCAAAAAAAAAATAGGGAAAACTAGTTCCAAGGGGTGCCTCGAATGGTTGAGAACCACGGCTCAATGTAGAGGGATCCTGCACTGGGGACCCCTTGCTGCAGCCCCCGCCTTCCCTAGCTGGTGCCTGGATTCAGAGTTAGGAGGAACGGGGCAGTCCATGCTCTGCTCTTTCAGGCTCTCTGCAGACTCAGGTCTGCTCAGAGCATTCCTGCAAGTTTCCTTTTTTTATCCTCGAGAGAAACAGAGGTCTGCCAGGGGGAGGCTGGGGTCCTGGTTGCCTTTTGCCCACCCCTGCTATGGCCCTGCTGCACCTACGCTGTGATCCTGCCCTGGTTTGTTTGCTCCCCCCTCCCCCAGGAGCCCTCAGTAGTTTACACCCCTGTTTCTGTCTTGTGTCACATTATTTCTGCCCCAGATACTGAGCTAGGTGGACTCTCACAGTGGTTTCTCTTCAAGCTCGTAACCGCTCTTATCCATCAGTGGCTCACCGTGTGGTCATGCCCCTTTAAGGGGGATCCCTAAAGGGGCATGACCACACCTGCTTCAGCAGGTGTGCAATGGGAAGAGCTAAGTTGTGGGTGAGGCGGAGACGACTTTTGTCAGCTTGCTCCTCTGTGAAGCTGAAGCCTTCCCTCCAGTTTAGAGGCTCTGGGAGAGAGGAGACATCCTTGAGGGTGAGGTTGGACCTGGCTGGGCTGTGCATGCTTGAACCCAGGAGAGTGGCTGTGGAGCAAGGGACCAGGTAAACGGGGGTCTGTCTGCTCACCTTTCCCTGTCACAGCATGCTCCTTTGCTAAAGGGATGCTTAGGGAGAGAGGGCACTGGGATCTGGGAGCTCAGGACTGGTAGGGACCTTCTGGTCCAGCCCCTTGCTAGCAGGGGCCTCCTCCCCCGGAGCAACTGGGCCAGACCCTTGAATTGAAACCACTGCACCTACTGACCCATATACTCCATTTCCCCTGTGTGACACCCTGGGGTGGAAGGGTTGGGTCCTGCCTGTTGAACCTGGGCTCCTTGCCTGTAGGAAAAGTTGCTGTGATGGCCACAGATGTGATGCCAGGTCAGGCTGGGGGCCAGATTTAAAAGGAAGGAGTTTCCCTTTGCCAGCACTGGCTGGGTCTTCAGTATCTTAAAGGATCTGCTGGGAGGGGGGAGCATTGCTAATCCTGGAGGCTAATAACCACTGTGATGAAAGTCAGTACGATCCAGTCTGGTGGATCACAGCTGACCTTGGCTGAAAATAGTAAGAACGGAAACAGCCTTTTTCTTTTAATTGCCTTGGCTTTGTTGGTGGAGCTGTGCAGCAATTTGTTTCTGGGCAGGTGCCTTGATTAATTCTGAGTGCAAAATCAGTGTTAAAACTGTGACACCTGGCACTCTTCTCCCCGGTGTCAGACCCACGAATCCTGCACTTACCTATCTGTTCATAGATTGTCTCTGGCACCTATCACTGCCACTGCGTGTCCCTTCCTAAAGCCAGGCACAAATACCTCTGTGTCTTCTACAATCACTTTGGTTCTTGCTGGACCACATCTTGTTGCTTTAAAAAGGTGGGTAGAAAAGATTTCCAGGGAACACTTAATTGCAAAGAGATGCGACTGAAAAAAGAATTAATTTGGAAAAAGTGATGAGGGTGTGGACGTTGGTGGGTGATGTTCTGATTACTTTTATGTAGGAATGATAGTGCATGGGACTGGGTGGTGCCCCTGTTATAACTTGAGTCCTTTAATGTGCCTTTGCTGCAGAAGTCTGGGATTTCTGTATGGAAGTGGGTGAATATGGAGCCATCTCTAACCCTATGGCTTTCTTATATCTTGAAAGTGGTATGAACTCTCAACCTAGCACATTTTGAGGGTGTTAGCTCTGGTGTAAAACTGCTCCTTGAACTCCTTTCAGTCTGGATGGAAAAATAACCCTGCAATGCTGTCACGCTCTGGCTCTTCTATGCTAGCGAAATGCAGGCAGGGTAGAGATGGACCATTTAGACTAGCTGAATCAGAGATGCGCAGGTCACAGCTCACTTCATCAGATGCAAACCGTTATCTTTGCATCTCCAGCTCAGTGGGGGGGGAAAAAAGGCCATGGTGTAATCTGTGAGCCTATATACCTTTTTTTATTATTATTATTATTAATATTATTTTACTTGAGAGTGGCTTTCAACAAATGCCCTTTGTGCTACAAGATCAGTTCATGAGGCTCTTTGTGATGGGAAGGAAGCGGAGTCAAATCATCAAGTAAATTCATCTGTAACAAACTCATGGTCCATTGGGACTTCTGGGTTGTGTCTCTGCCACAGCCCAGAGCTGCTGGGTGCTTCTCCATCCCGGCCTGGCTAGGACTTGGTTTCTCTGCTGCAGAAGCATCAGTCCAGCTTGTTTGACTTAAAAGAGAATCTCCCCAAATCCGTAGCCGGATAGGACCAGTGACACACAGACGAGCAATTTCTGTTGCATCTAGTGTGTGTTAATTAATTCACTGCAACATCCACAGCTGCTTTGCTCAGACTTACTTGAAAGCTTCCTGTAGCCTCTGGGCCCTGGGACTCGTCGTGCAGGGATTTGAGCTTTGATCCTGGGATTGTAGCTCAGATAGTAACTGGTGAGGTTAGGTCACAAGACTGGATGCTTTCTCATAGCTCATGCTTTAAAACCAGAGAAGCATGTGTAGAGGAGCACGTGCCCTCAGCAGGTTATTGGTAATACTGCCTAAGTGCCGAGAGGTCGGTCACACTCGGTGCCTTATGTTCCTGCTCCTTTTTTAGATGGAGAATAGCATGCGATGAAAGGGAAGGAAGCCCTGCAGGAGTCTCATAGTATTGCCCTTAGCAACGGACACAAAACCACCCCCGTTTTGCTACCGTCACATCCTGGCCCGTAGTGTATGGGCTTCCCCGAGACCTACGTCAGAGGTGCCATCTGCACAACAAAGTTGGTTTGGGAGGGCTGCTGAATCCAGGGGAGGTTACCAGCTGCACATGGAGATGCAGGGAGCAGCTGTAGCCTGTGCAGCTAGGAGGCAAAGCCATCTGGATTTGGGACTGCAGCATACAGGGCGTGCAAAGGGGTAACAGCATGGCCACGTGGCTTTGCACCCACAAACCTGGTTGCTGTGGAAGGGGGACGCCAGGTGCTCATCTTCCCCGTGTTCTCCTTTCTCCCATCTCCATCGCCCCCCGCTCCCAATTGGGGTCGGGGTCTCTGTCTCTGCTCGGCTAATGAAGCGCAGCGAGGCAGGGTTGGGCTCTGGACTGATTGCGGGTCTTTGCCTCCCTTGGAAGAGAAACCTTGGGCCACTCCTAGACCCTGTCTCTGTAGCCCACCCTCATACTCTACTGTAGTAGGCGATGATCTCCCTCTTGGGCAGGCTGCCGGGACTGAGCGGCTGGCTCTCCCCAGCCCAGCCGTTCCTGTTCTGGAAGAGCTCCTGCTGGAGGCACAGGGGGGGCTTGCATTTGTGCCAGCTCTTCAGGAGCTTGTTCATGGTGCCCTGGTCCGTGATGCCCAGCAGCTTCTCCTTCTCCTCCCCTGCCTCGGAGGGCGTTTTCTCAGGCAGGTGGGGGTGCCCCATGCCCATGTCCTTGTTCATGGCCTCAAAGAACTGCTGGATGCAGACCTTGGCGAAGCTCTTGGCGTGCTCCGTGCAGGTCTCGTCGAACAGCTTGCGCTCGATGTCGATGTAGTGGGACCAGTACTTGCTCTTCAGGAAGGCGGCCTGCGTGAAGCAGGGCCGCAGGGACCGCACGAGGAATGCCAGCATGGTCATCAGCAGCACAAAGGACCAGCCCAGAGCCTGCAGGGGTGGGGAGAGGGAAACCAAGCTGGTCACAGGGCGGAAGACCGAGGGCAGGGCCTTGCAAAAACCCTGGGTCCCAGGATTGAAGCACAAATCCCTGCCAGACAAGTCCCTCTCTAGTGTTAATAAGATGGGCACCTTTAAATATAGGACAAGGGTCTACCATAACCACAATTCTCCTTTGTCTGTTGGGAAACAAACAGGAGAGCATTTAAGTGTCAGACTAATAATACAGGCTGGACCGGTATTGCCGTTTGAGAGGTGATGGGCATGGCTTTGATTATAGTGGGGGAGAAGGCTGTTGGCAGGTTTCATGGGGCATGAATTGAGCAAAGCCTCTGTAGATAACACCTCTGTCTTCAGGGACTGAATCGGCACCGTTTTGAGCCAGAGGTGACTGGAGCGAGAGGAAATGTCCCCTTACGGCCTCAGTGTGCACAGTGGGAAGAGAAAAGAGAGGATATGGGTGAGTCCGAATGGCAGCTGCACCTCCCCACCTGCAAATAACAGGCAGGGAGGCAGCCCTCCTGGGCCCCTTGTGCTGCTGGGGGGGTGGGCGGACCGCTGCCCTGCATCCCAGTGTATTGCAGCAAATTAGACCTCTCGATCTGGTAGGAAGTACCATAGAGACCCCGTGGATAGCTTCATCCCGAGCTAGGGAGCTCTGCTGTTCTCTGGCCTGGGATTGAGCATAGATATTTTTAATACCAGTAATGAGTTATAGGGTGGAGCAGTGGAGAGTCTTGGGGGGGCGGGGAGGGGGGTTCTCTCAGACTCCTCCATCCGTGGGGTGCTCAGGGGTTTGGTGTTGGCCTGGGATGCCCTGGTTTGCTGGCAGGGTCTCTTTGTACATGTCACCGCTTCATCCTCTTCCTCGGCTCCCCTGACCTAGCAGAGAGGGGGCAGGTGCTGTTTGAATCGCCAGCAGCTGGTGCTTAGCCATGTCAATGCTGTGGCGATGCAGCCCCCGTGCTAGTGGGAGAGGGCAAAAGCACCTCGTTCTCCAAAAATGAGCCCTTCCTGCACTCGAGTGTGTGCTGTGCTTCATCTCCTGTGTTGGCTGCACTGTGGTAGCATGCCCAGCTCTGCTCTACTGGCCCCAGGACCTGGCTCACTGGCGTGTAATAATACCCGAGACAGCAGGGAGCCGTCCGTCGTGCGATGTGAATGAAACGCAGCTCGGAGATGCGCTGGACTGTGGACCGTGACTCGCTGCAGTGGCTACGGACCCTGCCCACAAAGGAAAAAACAGGGGCGGCTGGGTATGGGGTTTGCCTGTGAATGACCACAGAGCCTGTCTGAAGAAATGGAATCGGCTGATGCCAGGCCCCTGAGCCCCGTGGTAGACTGCCATTTTTAATGAAGTTTATTAGCGATCAGAATTTATATCGGGAGTGGAGCCAGGCTCCAAACCATAGCAAAGCTGGCAGGCGTCTCCCTCATGCTATTGCATACGTGTACTGCTGGCTTCTGCCTGGAATCGGAAATACTCCGTGTGTGTCATGGGCTCCGCACGGCTAGTCACTAATGGAGATTCCCCTTCAGCTCCAATGGCAAGGACCTGGGCTTTTGGGAGCAAGAGCTGTGTCTCCAGCCATTGCCGTGGCCTTTCAAGTGGCCGCACTGCGCGCGGCAGCAGTAACTGCTGTGTTCCAGGTTGGTGTTGGTGTCGGTGCACAAGGCAATCCCCTGCCTGGCTCGGAGCACTGCTAACCTAGCGAGCGAACGCAGAGGGGCTGGAAAGGATAAGTCGCAGCTCATAAAACAGCAGAGCAGCCAGAACTTAAATGCCAGCGATGAAGACAAACTGTCCTGTTTAGACTGTCGGGTGGCTCTTGCCTCCGAGCTGCAGGGAATTTGCATCCTTCACAAGCTGCAAGGAACAAACAAGCGGAGGGCAGGCCTACTGACGTGGGCACCTTTGCTTGGGGTCACTTATCGTTTGGCTGCATTTACATTGCAAATGAGAAGGGAGCACAAATGAGACAATTCGTGCAAACGCAACTACACGTGCTTGTGCTTTTGACGTGGGTTGGCCTTAGTTGATCTCCCACCGGCACAAGCTCTCTTGACCTCCCCGACTTTTGTTTCATATTGCAATTATCATAAATGATACCAGACCAAACACAGTGTGTAGCCTGGTGTCCTGTCTCTGAGCGCTGCCTCTACCAGTGCTTGGCTCGCCAAACAGTGTGATGCCATTTAACGGAAAGCCCTGGCGAACAAGGCCTTGTAGTCCTTATATTGGCTCTGGTTGCTGCAAGTGCTGCCCTCCATCCTACCGTGGTCTAACTTTGCTTGCAAAGTTGTTGGACTTGGTCACATCCAGCATGAGTGAGCGATGGCAAACGGGCTTTCTGCAGAGCAGTTGAATCTGGGAACAGAGCGTCAAGGCCTACATGGCCTGTACACTGCCAGCCCCAGGCCAAGCAAGCTTGGCTTTGTTGGGATGGCTCTGTGTCCTTAATGCAGTCAGACCCAGATGCCCTTGTGTGTCAGCCCCATACTCTGTAAGTCTGTTTGGTGATGACCCTGCTCCTTGGTGGGAATGGTTTTCCGGACTGAAGATCTAGGCTCCATCCCTGTCTCTACCCAGGACTGTGCCTCGTGATCTTGTCCTATCTCTGCCTCCATTTCTCTACTAAAAATTGAGATAATAATACTTCCCTGCCTGGATATAGGAGGGTGGGATTAAGACTTTTAGGGAACCAGTATGTCTCCCCCTTATTGTGCCAGGCTGCTCCAGGATTAGACGTGCTGCGTTGCTGTGTGCGTGCTGTGTTTGGGAAGCCGTGCGTATGGCACGTAGTCATTAGAATTAAATGGACATCTGCTTTTCAGAGTCATAAAAACAAAACCTGGCCTCCTTCAGCATCTTGACAGTGCATCCCAATGCATCACTGACAGTTATTTCTACACCTGAGTTAATGTTCACCTGAGCTAATTTTGTTTGCTACAGTTAAAAACAGTCCTGTAGAGCTGTGAAATAAGAGCTATGTGGCCGGGGGCAGCTAACAGATGGCAAAATTGCAGAAGCAAGGACGATTTGATTAGTGCAACATCAAGACCATTAAAAAGAAGACATGGTTGTTAACACCTGTGGACTGGGGAGATCGCTTCCAGCCAGTTGGTTTAAACTGTGGTTGGACCAGGAATCAAAGTGTCAGGGGGTGACTGTCCACGGGGACCCCCCTTCCCCCCTCATACTACTCCAATATAATCTATTGAACGTTGCCTGGACTCTATGAGAAAAAAGCTGCCCAAATATATTACAGGTGCAGGGCTGCATTTTAGGGCTGGGCAGGCAGCTGTAGCTCTCGGTGATGTCAGTGGGAATTTCCCCTGTGTGCCAGGGCTGAACTTAGCCCGGGGCTTGTAGGGATCATTTACCCACTACCAAAATGCAGCTGCTTCTGGAACAGAACATGCAGGTTGTTTAATACGTGAGTTTAGGGGAGGAAGCAGCTGAAACTGGGGAATTTAGGGAAGCATTATACTGGGACATGGCCAAGACACTGAGGCTCTCACCTTCGTTATCAAGCAACCACCCCAGCTTTGCAAAGACAACACCTTGGAGCTAGGTTGAGTGTAGATGAAGGGAAGAGTACCTGTTTTGATCTCCCATCCAACTCTGCTTGGCTTGAGAGACGCTGGCATCACTCAGCAGCTAGCACTGGCCCCTCTCTCTTACCTGTGAGATGCAGCGCAAGTATCTGATGGCCACCTCATTGGGGATGAGCTGCTGCCCATCGTAGATCTCTTTGCAGGGGATCCGGGCCAGTATCCTCTTCATCTCCTTCTCTGACAGGCCTGTGTAGCTCAGGTTCCCCAGCTTCTCCACCGGCACCGAGGTGCTGAACGCACACAGGATGCACTTCCCGTCCAGCAGCGTCACGGAGATCCAGACCGCAGGCGCGATCATGGCCCGCTGAGCCATGGAGCAGAACATGTAGCGCAACACGGCCGGGTCCTTCTGCCTCATGCCTGTAGGCCTCTTCCACTCCTCCGCCAGCATGGACACGTTGTTGTTCATCACGAACCCCAGCAGGAAGAGGACGAGCGGGGGCACGAACAGGATGCCCAGGCCGTAGGCCAGGTTGTAGCGTGGCAGGCAGGGGCAGTTGAAGTCAAAGGCCGCATACATCTGGGCACTGGCAAGGGCCATGATCCCGCAGATGCCGTTCATGAACGATTCCTGGTTGGACTGGAGGAACTGGAAGATCATCCGGAACTTGTCCATCTTCCCCGCTGGCTTTCACCCTCCTCCTCGCCCCGGCGTCTTGTCTTGTTTCACTTTCCTCCTCCAAAGGCCGAGCGCATCTCTGCAATGGTCTCCGACTACTTCTCATTGGATTATTCAGTCCCTGGGAAAGGACCCCACTTGCAGAGTCCCTGCCCTGATATTTAAAGCCAAGAACTTGCCGTTTTCTTTAGCTGAAGGCTGGCGAAAGTCCCTTTGCCGAGACCTATGAACGCTGCGTCCTCAGAAGCTCCAGGGCTTGGAAACCTGCCTTCCCCAGTCTTCCTTGTATCTGCATCCCTCCGGCTTTTTGGTCATCTATGCTTTGGCTTGCCTGGGGGTGCCAGTGTTGTAGCTTTGTGCTCTGTGTCTGTCTGTTCTTGCCAGTAAAGGGAGTTGGCTCGACTCTGTCAACCGGTTTGCAAATGTGCTGGGGCTGCGGAGTGCTCCTCCCACACCTCTCCACTAAGAGGGCCGAGAGCACGCGCCCCACCTCCCGGGAGAAAGGACGGCAGGTTTGCAGATGCTCTTTGCTCTGTCAGGGTTTTGAGGCCCTGGGGTACAACTGCAGTGATTCATGAGCTCACTAGCTTCCTTCCCCTACGGTGTGTTTGCTTTCTGGGGAAGTGGTGTTGACTCCTCGCTGTCGTATTCTAGGTGGGGAAGGGAGGTTAAGGGAAGCCGAGAGCGAGGAGGAATAAATTCCCCCGTGCTCACATGTGATATCACCAGACGGCAGTGATCTCCCCTGTTATCCCTGCCTCAGTCTCACCGATGTGCATCTACAACCAGACGGCACTGGGACACCCTGGTAGCATTTAGGACTCCCACAGGACTGTGCACTCGGGGATCACCAAGCCCTTTGCAAAGGCTAACCCTTGTAGTCTCACACCATCCATGGGCAAATCTAATTCTCTCTGGCCTTAAGGAAATGAAGTTTGGAGTATAACGACCCTCCATTTCAGCCACAGTGTTGGGAGCAGAGCGATCTGGCTTCTAGTCCTAGAAACACTGTGGGTTTGCAGTTTCATAGATTCATAGATTCATAGATTCATAGATTAAGGGTCGGAAGGGACCTAGTAGATCTTCTAGCCCGACCCCCCGCCAGGGCGGGAGAACAACAAAAACCCCAAAAAGAGAAATGGGACTCAAACGAGTCCAGCTAGGTGGGCATCCAGCCTCTTCTTAAAGACCCCCAGGGTAGGGGCCAGCACCACTTCCCTTGGAAGTTGGTTCCAGCTCCTAGCCGCCCTAACGGTGAAGTAGTTTTTGCGGATGTTCAATCTATACCTCCTCTCCAACAGCTTGTGCCCATTTCTCCTTGTTATGCCAGCGGGCGCTAGGGGAAACAGCGTCTCCCCCAAACCCCTCTGGTCCCCCCTAGTGAGTCTATAGACAGTCACCAGGTCACCAGTTGTGACGGTGCAGGAGGCTTTGAGTCCCTGTATCTCCATTTTCTGACCTACAAAAGCAGGAATCCTCTGTGACTTGCCTTACAAGAGTTAGTTTTTGAGACTTTTTTTCTTTCTTTCATGAGGTGTGTTCATTCACCTTTTGCTTGAGATGTGCAAGTGGAAACCGTTCCGGAAGGGCATGATCGTGAAAAAGGCTAGATGCCGTCTTTGAAGTCCCATAATACATCACCACAACATGGGACACAGGACCCAGGAGGCCTGGCTTCAGCCTGCAGACATGCTGGGCCAAATCCGTTCATCGCTCAGTGGAGTAGCACACAGGATGAACTCTCTGGCTCCAGAAAGCCTTGAGGAAGAGAAATGTTAAAAAGCCACCCCTTCTAACCCGGCTTTCTAAGTGTTGTAGATACTGGGACCTCCCCAAGGAAACATTTGTGCTGCAAGCCTGTATTTAAGGTCCCCTACCTGAGTAATGGTAGGATGGCCACGGCTGGTCACGGCCTATCTTTCTTACTGTGCGAATCAAAATGAAGTTGGATATTCTCACTTTCTTCTCTGGTGTGAGAGAAACCTCTTGGCTTACCAGGGAGATGGGGATACACCTGGCTGGGATAGACCTTGTTTGACAGATGGGGAAATGGCTTGAAGTTGCAGCAGAGTAGGTTTGCATTGGATATCAGGAAAAACTTCTTTGTACTTAAAACAGTGGGGCAGTGGGATAGATGCCTAGGAAAAGGCATGGATCCGCCATCACTGGGGGTGTCCAAGAAGAGGTTCAACCACTCGTCGGGGATGACCTGGGCGTAGCGATGCCTGTGTTGTACTATGGGGATTTGCCAGGCTTCTGGGCTTTGCTGGTTGCCCCCTTCTCTCATCTTTCTGCTACATGCGTCAAGGTATTTTTAAGCCTTCCTCAGAGGCCTTGAGTGTTGGCTGCAGCCAGTGCTCCTGCAGGGACTCAAAGCCAGAGGTTCCCAGCTAGAGGGTCTTGCGCCTCCACTCGGGGTCAGATCGATGGCCATATTTGGGGTCAGGAAGGGATTTTACCCTGTTGTCAGATTGGTACAGGTTGGGGGGGGCATAGTCCTCTACCTGGGATCTCTCAAGAGTACAATATGGACTCCCAAGGGAGGTGGTGCTCTCTCCTACCTTGGGGGCCTTCAAGAGGAGGCTGGACAGAGATTTGGCTGGGGTGTTATGACCCCGGCACTTGTTCCTGCCCAGGGCAGGGGGTCGGACCTGGTGATCTGTTTCGGTCCCTTCCGACCCAAGAACTATAAAACTATGAAACAACTGTTTTATAGAAATAGGATGCTGCTGGTTCCCCTGCTTTACCTGTGCCAGGATCAGGTGTGGTGTCTTGTGTTGTGTCAGGGTTGACAGTAGCTTTACAAAGAGATTCTCGATGTGTATAAGATGGTTTGGATAGGGCTGATCCTGCCTCAGGCAGGGGGTTGGACCTAGATATGACCTCCAGAGGTCCCTTCAAGCCTGACTTTTCTCTATAACTCTCTGATTCTCCAAAATGAAGGCATTTAATGGAGGGAGGTATAATCCAATGGTTAGGGCACTGAACTCAGGTGTCCCAAATCCTGAGCTAATTTCCAGCTCTCCCTGAGTGTAGAGAGAGACCCTGAGTGTGTCCCTCTGGCCCTGATTCTCTTCCTAAACAACTTGTTGAATAACAGCAATGGTGCTGAGGCTCTGTGCCCTATAGCAAAGATCATGAAGTCCTTGGATGCTATGGTAAGGGGTGTGGGCAATATAAACGCAGCAAGTTGGCACACAAAAGGTAAGTGATTATTGTCCAAGGTCTTGAAGTAGGTCGATGGAAGGAGGAGAAGCAGAATTCAGGAGTCTGGCTCCTTAGCTGGAGGTTTGGCTCTTTCTGCTCTGCCTCCCAGACATCTTGATGGTAATACCACGACACACAGCATCCCATGTCTGATGAATGCTGAAAAGCACTGTCATGTGAGCCAGGCAGGCTTAGTTCTGTTTGCAGCTCAGCACTTAACTGCATGCTGTCAGCAAACCAGGACAGATTTGGCTGCATGGATAAAGAGGAGGCTTGTGATGGGGAAACTCTATGTTGTAGAGTTGGCTAAGAGCTCATTGGTTCCTTCGTTCAGCTGGTGTTTGAATTTGGGGACGTCAAGGGCAGGTCACATCAAAGCCCCAGTGAGTCAACCCAGTAAAAAGCCTCCTGTTGTTTGCAGTGGGGTTTTTGATCTCCAGAAAAGTATTGTCTTGCATTAACCACAGGGTACAGGTCTGATCCTGCAAGTCTCACTGAAGTCAATGACAATTTGGCATAGAAAGCTATAGGAACCACCGTCTTGATCTCTCTCCTTTCATTGCTTTCATAGCATTCAGGCTGTTGCTTATGAAACCTTATGCCTCTCTGAATTAGTTAGTCTCTTAAAGTGCCAGCCTGCCCTGCCTTCCGTCTCATGGCTTTCTTAGCCGTTGGTTTTTGTTCGGTGATTCTACTTGCTGCGGGCTAACTTCGGGGACATAATGCAAGATTAGGATGTTCCTTTCAGGACCTGGCGTGCTAATACTTTGTTTTGTGTTTGCACGCAACAAATCCATGGATGCTTTAATTCCCAGCGAGCCGAACTAAACTACATCTGAGGAGTTTTACTTTAATGCACAAGAAAGTCTTTTAAAACATCAGGAAATCGTGCTCATGCAAACAGATATGCAGCGGCAGCACATGAAAGGGCAAAAAACGTGGTGTGTACATATGCCCTTGGGAGCTATTCTCTCCCAGGGCTGGGCAAACGCATGGCATTCCTTTTTTCTGGGAATTATCTGCACCCCAGGCATTGCTTTTTCATGAGTTTAACTCTCATTGACACAGTAATGTGGTGCATGCAGCTTTGTCTTTGCTTTCTGACTCATTCTATCTGAGGATCCCAGAACCCTTCATGCTCGAGCGTTAATTAAGCATCAGTCCCTTCCAGGGACATAGGCAACTTTGGCACCCCTCCTCTTACAGGTGAAGATGAGGCACAGAGAGGGGAAGTGACTTGCCTAAGTCGCATGGAGTCTGTGGCAAGTGAGAAGACACCCCAAATCTCCTGCCTTCCAATCCCACGCAAACTGCACAGCTGTCCTTTTTTTCTCCCTTTTGCATCTGTTTCTTGCAGCCCTTCTCAAGCAATCGAAGCCCGGAGAACATGAAAATCAGTATGCAAAGGGGCCCTGCAGAGAAAGCTAGAACATCAGGTTGAGCCCCCAGAGGAAAACAACTCATTTGACTAGTGTTTGGCAAACAGGATGGATCGGATTTCCCCAGCTCTGATTTCCAGCGCTGCATTGGGGAGAAGTACATTTAAAATCACCCACCCCTGTCCCAGCGGGAGGGAGATGCCATCGGTTCAGCAGAGCCCACGAATGCAGCTTGGGTTTGAAATGAAAAATCGCATGAGTTATTTGCCAAAGGGGCCCAGAGAGACGTCTCGTTAAGCTGGAAAATCTATAGTCGTGGGAGGACTGGCGTGTTGTTCAGCACTGATGCTGAGCCCCGCTGGGAGCCAGGAGAGTGAACCGGCAGACTGATAAATAAACTACTCCTTTTTTTAATGTATTCAGAGATTGTGGGCTGATAAGATGCTTATGTGAGGGAACAAACGAGCTGAAGCGCTGCATTTCGTGAACACGGCCCAATAACCACGGCCCGGAAAGGGGGAAATCTGTGGTTTTTTAATACCAAAAAGCTGTTCTGCCATTTCATAGCCCCTTTGCCAAAGTATCTTGTTGCTCCACATTCCTGAATCCCTGTTTGTGAGCCAGTGTCCTGCCTTCCCAGATGAGGATGGGCAGCACATGTAGCAGAGAAGGGAGCGAATGTGGCTCGTTATAAGCAGAAAGGGTGTTTCTAATGGGGTTGTTGGGCCCTGATAAACCTCTGACTTGCCATTTGACTGAAGCAGCTGGTGCTGCCCTTGGTTGCCAGCCAGCCTCCCCACCCCTCTCTTGCGCCCCCCCCCAAATCCTGACCTGTGATATGTAACTATGGAAGGGACTGATGAATTGTAGACAATGAGGGTGGAAGGGACCCAAGGAGGTCACATCTAGTCCAACCCCCCTGCTCCAAGCAGGACCAGCCCCAACTCCATCATCCCAGGCAGGGTTTTGTCTACCTGGGGTTTAAACACCTCCAGAGATGGAGAGCTGCTTCACAAAGCTGTTTTTCCCCACACGTAGCCCCAGGCCAGTGAAAAACAGGGTCATGCTGCTGGCTCTAGGCCTGGGGGGTGGAGGAGAGGCAAGAGGCTGCCCCTGGAGCTGTGTGTGTGTGTGTGTGTGTGTGTACACTGCATGCATACACACGTGTGCTCAGCAGCCAATTTAGGCACCCTGGGCAAGGAACTGGTCTCCTTTTTAAGAGGCCTGTATGAGCAGGGGTAGAACGAATCCCTGTGATCGAGGAGCTTGTTCAGGGGCAGGATTATTTGGCACGGATACATTTCTGAGATCTCTCCCATGCCCAGGGGAAGGAGCTGGAGCCCCCAGCCCATTGTGCAGATCTTCCTCCTCCTGGAAGTGCATCCTTGCAAAGACTACCGTGTGCACACACCAGCTGTTTGTTTGGGTTTTTTTCTAGCCCATTCTCAAAACCTGATCTTCCCGAGCACAGATCCATGCTGCTAGTGAGACAGGACCTACGCTCGCCTGCTTGCTTGCAAGTGGGGCTGATGTGAACAAACAGGAGAACAACTGCTTTAATCAGTGGCGCTGGACAGAAATGTAAGCTACACTGGCATTAAAGTTGAAAGTCGGTATCTGTGACTTTAATGGTTTAAGTCCTCCTCTCCCCCCAACAAAATACTAGCACTGTCATGTTATAAATCTAGGAAAAACAGACTCAAGATAAAATGAAAAAGAACTGTGAATATGTGGATGTGAGTATAGAAAAGCGTAAGGGAGGCACGTGACCTTAACTCTGTCCACGCGGTGGCATTCACCCCTCTTCCCACACCTTAAAGACTCTGAACATCTTGGGATGTCTTGAAATCTGAATTCAAATTTTGGGGCAACCAGTTGGTGCCTACTTGAACTGGGTTCCCACTGCAATAACTAAATCCCCCGAGCTGGCATCGGGAAGCTGGACCTAGATTCTGTGGCATAAAAATATTGTTTTCTTAAGTGCCGTCAACTTATATTTAAAGCACAGCAACGGAGGCCTTCTTGAGTTCATTTGAAAATCCCATACAGCAGTGGTTTTTAGCAGATCCCTAAAATGTTTTTAATGGAGTTGCAGACCCCTTTGAATTGTGAGTGTGGGTATTCACATGCTTTTGATTGATCATAGTCATCTTTCATGGACCCCTTAGACATAGTCTTTCATGGACCCCCAGGTTCTGCAGACCACAGGTTGAAAACCGTTGCCATGCAGTATGGTGATTTCTCTGATGGTTTGGTAGGAAGTTCAGTTTGGTAACTTCTAATTTTCAACAGGCAGCTCTGTTTTGTTCTGGAAATACGAGGCAATCGAAGAGAATGGTAGGTGAGATGGGGGCAGGTAGGATTTTTTGGCATGTGGGACAATGCGGGACCTTTGATTTTTAGGATAACCATGTTGAAACCATTCCAGAAGCAAGATCATTTCAGTGACAGCAGCATTAACTGCTTAGATTTCAATTAGTGCAGTCCCTGCAGAGGAGTGGGAGAAGCTCGCATCTCTCCTGGCTGTAATTTCAACCTGATAAGACTCAGGCACATGCTACTACATTGCTAAAATACTATTTCCATCTGAGGGGCTATTTCACAGCTCTGGGAGTCTACAGTTTTTTTCTTTTTTGGGTTTTTTTTTTTCTTTTTCTTTTTTGGGGTTAAGATGAATGACCGGCACAAAGCCATGTGGAAATCAATCAGCAGCAGTCATGATTGTCCTTGGGACCTCTGTATATTAATGCAAGAGTGTCTACTGCCCTTCTCATTGTGTTGGCACTGTTCTGAAATATTGGCTCAGGGAGCTGAAATGTCGCCAGCATAGGGAAAGCTGGAGCAGCTCTGTCCTATCTCTCCATCGGACTGCTCCTTGGGACCTGCTTCTCTTGTAGAGAAGATGTTTCGGCAGGACCGTGCCTCTCTAAACGTCTGTTTGCCTGGAGACGTTGGCCTTCTGGGCAGCTGCCCACCTGTTATTCACAGTGTCCACCCAGGGCACGGATGTGCACGCTCTCTCCTTGCCCAAGGGCTGCCGCTGGGTGGTCTGGCTCACATCTAAGGGCGGCTTGCCGGAGTACCACGATTTTAGGAGCTTGTTCACTTGCTCCTGGTCTGTGATCCCCCGCAGGTGATCTGCCTCTTCTTCCCCCCTAGGCATATTGAAGTGCCGCAGCTTGATCTCCTTTCGCATGCTCTCGAAGAAGTGGAGGATGCACTTGTTGGCGAAGTCCCGGGCGTGCTCGCAGCAGGTCTCCTCAAAGATTTTTTGCTCCATGTCGATGTAGTTGCTCCAGTAGCGCGTCTGCACAAAGGCAGCCTGATTGAAGCAGGGTCGGAGCCAGCGGGCCAGGAAAGCCACCACGATAAGGAGCAACAGGATACTCCAGCCCAGGGCCTGGGTGACGAGAAGAAAGCAGAGAGGCAGGATCAGAGGCAGAGGGAAGGGCACTGGTGTCTGAACACAAGAATTGCCATTGACTGGGTCAGATCATGGGTCCACCTTGCTCAGTCTCCTGTGTCCAGCAGAGGCTGGAAGGGAGAGTGACCAAGGTCCGACCAGGGTTTTTCTCCTGTTCCCCTCTCACTTGCAACCTCCAGCATTGAAGGTCCAGGCAGGTCTGATTTGGAGGCCGTGCTCCTCACTCCCATGCTCGATATTTACTGATGCCCTTTTCCTCCAAGATTGTGTCCAGTCCCTTTGTGAATCTGGCTAAACTCTCTGCTTCCACCACATTTAGTAGCAATGAGCTCCACATTTTAATTGCACTCTGTGTGAAAAAACTTCCGTTACTTAGTTTTAAACTTACTCCCTACTAGTTTCATTTTGTGACCCCTGGCTCTTGTCTGGTGAGAAATAATAAATCCCTATTGACTTTTCTCTTCACTATTTAGTATTTTGTAAACCTTTATCATGCCCCCCCCCCCCCCA